TCTCTCTTCGAGGGTGGAGGGTTGTTTTGTTCGGATGATCCAAAAGACTCCGTCCCAATCCCAGGCATGTCATTTTCTATCAATTTTTAGCTTTTGATTTAACTGCATTTTTCACAATTGTTATATCAATTTGAATTACTAGTTTTTCACGAGGTCGGCTAACACTAAGCTGTAAGAAAGCAAGAAGTATATCACAATAAACTAGAACAATTGCTTTAAATTTGGGGATTATTAACAATGGCTTTGGAATCGGAATCGCAGAACAAGAGCTACAGCTTAATGGGAAATGTTTACAGAGTGATGATGGTACCTAAGAAGGAGCTGGAACTTCAATCGCATTCCTCACGCGCTTTCACTTTCGCATATTAACAAGGAACTCCATCTCGAGCTTCCGTTTCGCGCACCCAATGTTGGAGAAGCCATTCGGGTTGTTATTATTCAGTTCTTTAACGAATTACTTTATTTTTTATGGTTTTCCTCTTTCGAACCTTTCCTTTTTGAAGTTTTGTTTTATTGCTTTTGCAACCGAAAAAGTTTGTATTCTGGCATTTTACACCTTTTTCCTTCTTTGGTGTACCTCACTGTGTTACATTTATGGTTGCTTCTGTGACTGTAATTATACTGACTGATTAATTCTGCCATCGAAGTGTTATCAATTTTCATTTATATGCAACAGCTGCAGAGACTGGTGATGTGATGGAAATCCTAAGGATATTCTTTGAAAACTTGCCATAATATAGATAGTCACTTTACCCTCAAGAATAATCAATATTTTGGAAGTTATTTTGATTGATTTTCTTTATTTCCTTTCCACAGTTATTAGTTTTGATTGAAATAGTTATTTTTTTATTATTTTAGTTTGTGAGCTTTTCTCTTGTTACTAAAGGTTTTAGCTATAGGTGTAGGGGTTTTCATTGAAAATAGAATTTGCTATTGAGCTGATATTGATTTTCTCCTCCTAATTCTCTCTCTTCTCCTAAATTCTCATCTTCTACCTTCTTCCCTCTCTCCTTTAAATTCTTGCGATCTCTATGCGCTGTATGCTTCAACTGGATTCCATTTTATTCAGCTTCTCGATGTTACATCAAATTTCAATTGCTAAATACATCCCGTTGCAAGTCTTGAATGATTGGTGAATACCATCTTACAAAACGGGTGTGCACTTCAAAGTTCTGTAAGGTACCTTACATATGAGCATCAATTTTGTTTTAAGTCCAGAATGGAAAGTGACACAACTTAAAAGAAAACTGATTTGGGTGTCTAAATGTGAATAAATTGCTTTGCTTTGGTTCAGGATATTCCGAGGAGTAAAGAAGCTGGTGAGTTCCTTAGTGGTGCTTTAGCGGGGGCCATGACCTAAGCCATTCTCGCTCCTCTTGAGACCATCAGGTTTTCTGTTTCCCCTTCCCTGATTCTGGTTCTAGTTGTTTTTGCATAATAGTTCAATTGCGATACATTATTTGATCAAGCTTTTAAAGGACAATTCATGTCAAAACCTTAGAGGCAATACGCTGGTGATTAGAAATTCAGGAACGTTTTCTCGTGGTACGTACGCCAATTTACTTGAAATGAGGCAGTTCATTTCTGCGGTGTGAATTTATATAGAACTTTCCATGCAAGCGTGAATAATTGCTTAGACATGGTTTCTGTCCCCTTCTGTCCTGTTGAAACAAAAGTTGACTGATGAAAATTTATTCGTAGCATTGCAGTATGTCGACTTCCATTGGCTTAGGGTGTGTTTGATGGATATTATTTTGGAAGAATGTATTTTGAAATAGTAGATTGATGGAGAATGTGTGGTTGAAAAAGAAGGAAAAGTTATTGATGTGATAGAAAATATTATTTTAATGAAGAATGTGTGGTTGAAAATGAGTAGAAGAATGAGAATGAAAATTTTAATGGGTACCAAACACACCCTAAATTGATTATAACAGTTTGACAAAAAAAAAAAAAANAGTCTATTAGATAGAATATTTAGGGTGTGTTTGATGGATATTATTTTGGAAGAATGTATTTTGGAATAGTAGATTGATGGAGAATGTGTGGTTGAAAAAGAAGGAAAAGTTATTGATGTGATAGAAAATATTATTTTAATGAAGAATGTGTGATTGAAAATGAGTAGAAGAATGCAAATGAAAATTTTAATGGGTACCAAACACACCCTTTGAATCCATTTCTTTTTCTCTATTTCGAGAACTTTTAATGCACTTCAATTTAACCTCTGTATAATAACTTGCTTCTTTGGAACTAAGTTCTACCAGAATTTTCAACTTGATTTCAAAATCAAGATAATGCTCTTACCCTCTTTAATTTGCTTCTTCAAACTGGCTTGTCCAGCTTGTGTTTACTTGAAGATCATTGATTTGAAGGCAGTATTCTATTGTGAGTGAATGCTATTCTCTTTGAGAAACCTAGGAAAATGTAAAAACACCACTGACAAGTTATTGGTCTTTGACATATTATTGATTTGTGAATGAAATATGTCATAAAGTTACTTTCTTGTGGTAGACTTAAGTATAAGGAGACACCAACTTGAACTCAGTTATAGTATTTGAACCTGTACCATTTTCTGAAGAATTATCTCATGATTCAAGCTTTCTTTTTGGATTTTGATATTTCAGTTAATGGGGGAAATTATTTTGACTGTTTTTTGCTTGCGTCGTTTAATCTGTAACATGAAATTCTCAGGACAAGAATGGTGGTTGGTGTTGGCTCTAGAAATATTTATGGCAGTTTCATTCAGATTGTTGAACAGCAAGGTCTGCGCATAGTTCCTACCCAGGCAATTGAGCTTGGAACATTTGAGTG